CTTTGAACAGCAGCCCCCCCCCCCCAACCACCTCTTGCCTTATCAGGTGGCAGGAAAAACAGGTTTTGAAAGACTGCTATTTCTGAAATGATAATTGCTTTAGGAAAACATATCAGAAAGTCTTTTGAAGAGCAGAACTAAATGTAGACCTCTATGATCATTTAGCAAGGCTGTATGTACCCCCTGGCCTCCAAATGGGTGCAGCCCTTAAACTCTTTCCAAGCACTGCCACCAAAGAGGAAAAAATATTAAGCAGATAGAGAGTGAACATCTTGCTAAGGTACTAGGAGCGTCTGTTGATAGGAGAAGCTCAGCTGGATTGCTTGGGTCATGCAGCTGCAAATTTATAGTTAAGACCATGTCGTGCGAACGCAGACTCTCATTTTTGGATTCCTGCACCAATGTCTTTCCTGTTTTATGTTTCAGATGAATTTGGGGCTTTGGAAAGCGTGAAGGCTGCTAGTGAAGTCTACTCTCCCGTCACGGGAGAAGTCACAGAAATTAACACTGCCCTTGCTGATAATCCAGGGCTTGTCAACAAATCTTGTTACCAAGATGGTAAGAGAATGCATTCCTGTTTTCCAAAGGATTCTGAATGATATTTTACAGAATATTGCAATGATAATATTGGAACTTACCAACAGAGTGTTGTTGGATAAGCATTAAAGTTAAGACTACAAGCCACTGGAACTAAGAATAGCATTCACTAGAACTACAGGAGACCTGGATATCCTGTGCTTTTTTTTTTTTAACCAGATTTGTTTTTTGGCTCGCAGGTTGGCTTATCAAGATGACTGTGGATAATCCTTCTGAACTCGAAGACCTCTTGAGTGAAGATGCGTATGAGAAATACATCAAATCCATTGAGGAGTAGCTAGAAGGTGCTAAGTTGAGCCAGTACCAACTGCTTTCTTCGATGTAGATTGTCCTAAATTAGTGGCACAAAGAGAAGTTGGCGCAGCAGCTGGTTGAGGAAGTTTTCAAGGAGAAAAGCACTGCCTTTCTTCGAATTGCGCTAAACATTGTCCACAAATGTCTGTAAATCAAAACATTTGTAGCTTCTCTTACTAGGCAGCGTCATGAGTAGTTTTGACTTTCCTCCCTTCCATCCTAATGAATATAATTCCATGATGTCAAAGTTCGAAGTCCATAATTCCTTCTGGGGTAGAATGACCTTTGTTCCTAAAATGAACCCAGACTGTTGATAAGATAGACCTGGAAAATGATGCAACAGCCTTAATTCCACCACACATTGTGCTTTTTATTTGTACAGATTTTCTTCCTTTTCTTTCCACCATTCCTCCCAGGGCATCTGTTTTCAGTCAGTTTTTGGTCATCCAAAAGCTGCCGTGTTGCCTTTGGTATTAGTGAAAGTCCTCAAAGATTAGAGCAGAGCTGGATTTCATGGTTTGAAGTGCAAGTGCTGGGGTGGAGGCGTGGAGATCTTCTCCAGCAGAAGCTTCCTGCCTTGCAGCAGATAAGATAAGAGAAGTTAATAAAAAATCCTGACTTTACCAAGTGTGTTTGTTGTTCCTTTTGTAGCCTCTTCATAGGATTAATAGTTAAGTGGTGAAAAGACTGAGTTTGGGTTTTTTACCTTTATGATTTAGTGGAAAGTTAGGAAGTCAATCTCAGCAGCTGCATAATTGCTCAAAGCCAACCTTCCCCTGCCAGATAGGGATCCAGTGTCTCCAATATGGTGCATCTGGAAGACACCAGCTTGGGGAAAGCTCTTAATATTTCTCCAGTTGTGAAATGGAGTAGGTTGGGTTTGCTGGGGATCTGCAATAAATGTTCAAAGCAAGGGGGAGCCAGCCTATGTATATTGCTAAACTACAATTCCCAGCATCCCTCAGCCATGGCCATGGTGATAGGTCTTCTAGGAGTTGCAATTTAGCAAGACTGGAATGGGGGAGGCACAAACTGGTGTAGGGCCAGGGATGTCTGCAGAGGAGTGTCCAAAACGTCAAGATGATAGCTCTGCTGGTGTGGTCAAAGCCATGCTCCTCAGATGTATTGACTGTTTTGACCCCTCCTGCAGATGACCCTATCTTAGGATGTGAACTAAGATTACTAGAAGTTCTGGATTGGAGGAAGTAATCTTGTGAATGGCAGCTTTGTCATAGACCTAGCAAAATGGATCAGCCACTGTATGTGCAGGATCCCAGTTGTGCCCAGAGCACAGTGACCTTAGAACAGCAATAGACAAGCTTGTCCTCCAGATGTTGCCAAGCTCCAATTCCAGCATCCTTCACCACTGGCTTTGCTTTCTAGGAAGTTGGGAATTGAAGTTCAGTAAGATCTGGATTCTATTTAGTATTTTTTAATTTTTATATTTCCAAGCCCAGTACAAGCCCTGTTCTTTCCTTGTGAGGTAGGATGGGCTGAGAGAGTAACTGGCCCCAAATCCCCCAGGGAGCTTTCATGGGATGAGAACCTGGGTCTCCCTGCTCCTAGTCCATCGTCTGCACTATACCACACTGGCTTTTGGCTGAAAGGAGGAACTGGCCAATGAACTGCTGTGACTGAAAGGAGACTAGAACCAGGATCTCTTTGTTCCTAGTCCAACACCTTGGTAATAAATAATACTGTTCAAGATTATTATCACCCACTACTTAGGCCAGTATTGTCCAAACTTGGCCACTTTAAGATGAGTGGAATTTAAACTTCCCGAATCCCCCGCCCCCCACCCTGTGCTGGGGGGAGTTGGGGGTTTTGTGCCGCCCTCTTTTTAAGGGGCCGAATCTGTAATACTCT